GGGCACACACTGTACAGCGATGTAAATAGCCGTTCCAGATCTTAACAGTGACAAGACGGCAGCCAATTGCAGCCTCTATTTTTAGGCCGGGGCTGGCAGCTTTGAGTAGGATGTGTACTTTTCTACAGTTCCTTCCCTAAAATCAACGCTGTCCTCGCTGGCGACAATCACAGAGCAGCTGTTGTGGCTAGGTGGCCAGGCCCCGACTTGCCTCACCCTGCTGCTTTCTGCCAGCGCAAGAAAAAAACCACCTTCACTGCCCAGAATTCACACCCGGCTCGCAAAAACAGGCGGAAGGCAGACACAAAAGAAAATGTGTTTGCATCCGGTGAAAATTGTGCAAATTATGGAGTTTTTATCAACGCTGGTAGCAGCGGTAGTGGTAGAGGGGGCTGGTGTTCTAAATTTACATGTGGCAGGATGTCTTGGAGCCGATATCTTCAGAATGACAGACATGCCGAGACCTACATGACCTTGCCCCACAGGGATCTCACTGCTGAACTGATAATGACCTGTGATATGCACTTTCTGGCACTTTATGGTTAGCACCATGTAAATATATGTTTCGTCTCGAGGGTGAGGATCATCTTGTTTTGGTGCAAGAGCTTGTGGACAAGTCTAGTTTATCTCTGACTTTAGTGTCCCAGAAACACCCAGAGAGGACCCAAAAATGTACTGTACAGTAAATAAAATTGCAGAGCGCATAATCTCTGCTGCTGTGACCATTACATAAAAAAGGCAGCGCTGCAAAAAGGGCAAGAAAACCATATCGTATCACATTGTATTCAAAACACAATTGCATTGGATCATTACGCATAACTGCCATTGAGACTTTAGATATTAAGATATTGAATCTACTTTTCCAATCGAGCATTATGTTATATTTGCCGATATATCTTTATATCATTTTTAAACTCTCAAACGTCAATGTCGGTATCAGCCTCAAAACCCCTCTATTGGTGCGTCTATAAAGGCTAGATGCAATGGCTCATCTGGAAGACAAACTGTCAATTATGACAGTGGTGCTAAACAGGTTTAAGAAATGTCCAACAAAACCCATCATTGAATGCTTCAGGAACTCACAGATCAATGCATAATGTGTGTCCTATCAGCATGCATAGACACATATATACTGTGCATGCATACATGTGCATGGGTTTTTCAGGAGGGGGCTTTAAATTGTTCTGCTTATTTGTAGAATTATTTGCAGTGTGGGTAAAAAGGTGCAGGTGCTTTCAGAAACACGTGTGATGTCTTAAAGCGCAGACGTACCTCACTTAACAAATAAGGGAAGGTCACAGTAACATGTTGACCTCATAAGGTGTGGGACACTACTGTATGGATGAGGTTGTAACACTTTAAGTACACAAAGTGACTGACTCGTAGCTCACACAGAGAGGGGCTTTGTGTTTTTTATCAGACTGTGAGCTAGTGTCCGTATGGTATGGATTAACACCTTGATAAAAGCAGTGTGAAACCTGACTTCAATTTCCTGTGGATTATATTCTATACTGTAAAATATTAGAGTTATGAAAACCTTCAATTTTCCTCTTTAGAGTCGAGCAAGTTCACTGCAACACCACTGGCATATTTGAGTGACCTGCTCCTTTTTGTATTTCACCATAAAAAAATGATCTGCAGATAGTTTATCTTCTTCAAAAGTACACACACACACACACACACTCACACACACACACTCAATAAGGTATCACTGTGAGGACTAATTGTTGACAGGTGGCCCTAATGCTCTCCTTTGAAACAAAAGTGTGATTTATGACCATGCTCCCCGAGACCCCGGCTTTCAGCGCTGCTGCTACTACAAACTTATCTTTCTCTCCCTCTGTCTGCCTGCCGCTCCTCCTCCTTTATTCCCCCCCGCTCTATCTCTCCTTCATTTTCTCTCAATCGTACCTCATTACTTTGCTCACTCACTTTCACCTCCTATCCCACTTTGAAGTTTCTGTCCTTCTTTGTCTGTCATCGCAGCGGAGCAGTGACTCTCCAAAGTCAGACATCCTTTTAATGTTTGATGGCCTATTTTTCACAGTGTGGAGGAATGTGAATGAATGTGTGTGTGTGTGTGTGTGTGTGTGTGTGTGTGCGTGTGTGTGTCGGGGGTTACAGAGGGGTCTGGGTCTAGACAAGGGAGACAGGACGGAGAGAGAGGAAGCAATGGCGCCATCTTTCAAACGAGTGTGTACGTGGCAGGGGGTGCAGTGAGAGTTCTGGGGGGGGGGACTTTACTCTGTCACTTATTCCGGCCTATGAGGACTGAAGAAATAAGCAATATGGATACCTTTCCTATCACAGTATGCGTAATTTTCAAAAATATCCAGATAAGACAGTCTGTGTCTAGTCAAGTTAATTAATTGGGGTCATATTTTGCATGCAAAATATTTTGAATTCAATATTATCTTAAAGTTGTCCTGCTTACTTTGTTCACAATGGCCTCCGACAATGACAGATATTAAAGAGAAGGGTCATTTGCTTTGGACGGTATAACGAAAGCTGACTCAGACATGATCCACTCAAGACCATCTTGCAATCAAATGACACCAGCCGCAATGTCAAATCGGACCAGGGGCTTAAAGTGTGTGTGTGTGTGTGTGTGTGTGTGTGTGTGTGTGTGTGTGTGTGTGTGTGTGTGTGAGAGTCTGTGTGTGGGTGGCTCCTTCACCACACAAGGGAAGTTGATAATTAAGAGTAAACTGTCAATAATAATTTTGTCTAATTTAATTCTGTTAAACACTTGAAACAGTTTAACAAGAAATATTAAAAAGTTTTCAAAAAGCTGAGATGATCTCTAAAAGGAGAACAGCTGATCCATCTTCGAGGTCCGCCCACCAAACTTGTTGCTAACATTGGAGCTAACCCCGTTCAGTTCAACCAGCAGGTTGACGCTGCCTCTTGCCTGGTTGAGATGCTATCGCCGTGATATAAACACCTGGCAAAGTACTCTAAACCTGCTCTGTGGTGGTTCCTCCGACAGTAGGTGTCTCCAGGAGCACATTTCGGCATGATGACTCATACACAGACTCTCTAAGTGAAAACAATACCAGCGAAGCTGTTGACCTGAACACTGGCAGCAGCATAATGTGCTATTAATTAACAAATAGAGTGAGTAACTATAAATGGCATTTGTCTTGCAATTCACAGGTTAACCTCTCCTGTGAGGAAATTTTTTACCCAAAAATAAATTCATTCCTGTTCATGAACAAATCTTTGCATCAAAATGAGACTGAAGATTATTCTTTACCTAAATTCAGTGCATTTTTATTTTGCCCATTTGCTCTCTAATACACAGTACACTACTCCTCTACTCTTTCAGGACAGTTTTTAACAGGCTACCGCTGTACATTGGGATTGGATTGCCACTTATGGTTGTTAGGAAGCGCTTGATTTGATATGCAGCAGACGTTTTTGATGAGCGGGGCACACATTTTAAGTACCAATGTCGCAGTGCATCATGTTCATTTAACTGTGGGAAGCCCAAATCGTGATCGCGATTAACATTAGATTAATTGTGCTCTCATGACACCCATCCCCTAAAAATGCCATTTCATCCTAGAAGGTATTAGTATTTTGAAGGGTGAAGGGTGTGGTTTCCACTCCATTAATCTGAAAACCATCTAGTTCAATGAGCGTTTAAAACACATGATACTACTCTATTATGCCAAATGAGCCACTGGTCAGTTCCTAGTCATTTGGTTCTCTGAAGTGTTTACCGAGTTCTTCACCTCGCCCTGGCTGCAGTACACCTATCAAAGCTCAGGGCTATTCCTGGAAAGCCATGACTAATGACAACTGTGATATTTTACACTGAGTAACACCTCTGGGGCCAAGCAGTGCAGTTGACACAAAGTGTGTGTTTATCAGTGTGTCTCTATGTCAACTAGGGACACACTGACAGTGTGAGCGGCCTGCACTGATGTTTGACAAACAAGGTGGACAAGGTTGTGGCAGAGCGATCAGAGTCCCTGGAAAAGAGCTACTGAGATGACCAGTCACTGGAAACACACAGAGATACACTGAAACACACACACACACACACACACACACACACACACACAAACACACACCTGGACTCAACTGTAGCATCATCTAGCCTGAAGCAACATCTGCTACTTATATTAAGATTAGTTGAAATATACATTATACAGAGCTTTTTAGTCTCGTTTAGCGCATTATTATCTCCGCCAGGAGATTATGTGTTCGGACGTGTGAGTTTGTGCATGCATGAGTATATTCATTCAATCAAACACGTTTTTAGTTGAGCTTGTTGTTTTGGTTTTACAGCACATCCACGGTGCGGTTCAGCTCTCATCGACCTCAGAAGGCAGCCAACATCTGTGAGAAACATCTTGCAGATAAAGATCAAGATACTTTTCTCAGAAGTTGGTATAACCAGGCGGCTGGAAACACGACTCCAAAAGAATGCTTGTGCTCTGTGTGGGTTGGATGTGTCAATATTTAAGAATATGGTTACTCGGGATCTGTGAGCTTGTTCGTTCAGTCAGAAGTTCAGTGCTGAAACGATTCGTCGATTGGCAAATTAATCAGCAACTGTTTTTAAAATTCAACTCATTTATCAAGCAAAAATCCTCTGGTAAGAGCCTCTCAAATGTGAGAAGAAACTTTACTCGTTTTACACTAGTATCACAACTATTGATCACAATTACTGATCTTTTGGATGAAAAGCAAAACCTGTAGGCAGAAAAAGTGAATGTAGTTTCTTAAGCTTTCTAACAGCGTCATCATGATATGAACCTGGAAAGTCTACATCACCTCCCGCATGCTGCTCACTAAGATGCCATCCTTAACACGCAAAGCGGAAACTACATCAGCAAGCCCCTCCTCACCGTGCAGTGGAGACCCCGACGGGCTGCTGGACAGGCCTGGTATAGGGCTACAACGGCCCCCGATGCCTCCTCCTCCAACCAGGATGCAGCCACCTCCTCCTATGCCTCCTCCTCCTAACGCAGCCACCCGGTTCAGCTCCTGTTCGATCTCCTCCAGGCCAGCGCTCTTTTGGAAGCGAGACATCCGGTTGACCACGCGCGGGGACATGTGCGTGCGGGCACAGGGTGCACCGCCATAGGTGTTGACGGGAAACACGTGGGTCGTGCCACGGAGGGTGCTGATGGCTACCCAGCGACTGTCCTGGCTGAAACACATGTCCTGGACCTGGACAGAGACAGGACAGGTACAGAGGTCACGGGACAGTGATGAGACAGAGAATGTGCATAACATATGAAGGATGGAATTATTACACTATATTTCCAAACACTTTGCTCATGATTGAGTCTTAAAGAGCTCCAACAACAACACATCGTTTTACAAATGATTCAAAATGTATCTATATTATAAAATGCATTATGTTCAAATATTGAAAGGTGAGGAGCGACAGCAATTGTGACAGTGAGAGGCAGCGGATGTATCTGTTGTATCCGACTGTGTTGTTTTAAGTATGACTTAAATCTGAAGAATGTCTCCTCTCACAGGGAATATCAAGATGGTACATAGTTCAAATGAAACGCACTGCTCCCCTGGCTGGATGACACAAAATGATGCATATCACGCCAGCCGACAGACCCTCGCCGCCAAATGAGCTCCATAACGAGGAAGGAGGCCGGACATAGTTCATTTGCACATACCACCCACAATGCAAAGCAAGTTGTAAACTGGCAAAATTGTTCCTTTAAGTGCAATATTTAGACGTTTTACATGGGTTCATACCCAACCGTTAATGTGTATGTCACGTGAATAGTGACTATTACTGTTACACGGGTGTCAAATGTTTGTATTACAAATTTAGAAATGTTACAGCGTTTGTGGAAATAGGACCCTGTTCTGACCTTGAGTGTAGGAAAGACAGCGACAGGGGTCATTGACAGACTTCCACGAGCTAGACTTTTAATCACAAGTGATTCTTGATGTATAATGTGCTGGTTAGCTTTCAAGGTATAGATTCCAAAATAGATGACTACTGTTTCTCCTGGCAGTACTCTTGATACCAATATACTTGTAACCATCCTTGGACCACCCAGACACATTATGCTCACTGATCTTGGATCTTTGCTCCTGGTTTGGTTTCAGCAGCTCCATCCAGTTTTCTACGCTGCCATTAACTGGATAGATAGTTTGAAAATAGGCTACATTTGTTTTGTATTATTTTCTTCACCACTAGCATAGAGAGAAATGCACAACTCTAGTCTGCCATCACGCTGTCACACAGATGAACAAACCTGCATGTCTGAGGTGATAAAAGTCGACCAGGGTCACAGGATTAGAAAACAACTTGTGTCAAAGGTGACAATGTGATATGAGCTCGGTTGCTGGTAAAACCCTTTGTTAGCTCTCCTCCTCAAACAGTGACAGAATCTCAGGGAGCAGCCACTTGAGAAGATAGCATCTCCCTGAGCATGTCAGACATGCAGGAAACCAGACAGATAGGCTGCAGGAGACAATACAAGCAAAGGAGTGTGGGAGAGAGAAAATGAAAAAGAAACACAAAGGAGCGATGAGGTGACAGAGTGCTGAAACAGCATCTATCATTCGACAAACAGTAAGAAATAGAGGCTTGAGAAAGTGGATGGGACTGGGGGGAAAAAGGAAAAGGTCGAAGAGAAAGTTACTAGGAGGAATGTCTTACTCTTTAGCCAGGAAGCCAGTCAGAGAGACAGCTCTACTGCAGGCCTCTCTAATCTTTTGCCAGGTCAGACTTGGTAATTCTACCTAGCAATGACAGTTAATGGGGCATCTTCTGCATACCAGACAGTCACTTTACTTCACAGAGATGAGTGAAAGAGGAGGCCTGACCTGTGCTTGATAAGAAAGGGCTACTTTGTGTGTATCGTAATTGCTCGTAATAGACCTGTCAAGGCTCCAACTGTAGATGGGTGCCTGGACTTTACTGTCAAATCCATTTTATCAGGCAGGGGATTACCCGAAGGGTGGCTGAGTGTGACAACCACGCAGATACCAAACAAATGCTATCTCAAAAAAAGGTGGAATGTAACTGTATTCAGTCACATGCATGAAGTTGCTCATTCCAGAGAAGCTGTCCTCGCACACAGAGTATTTGACATGTTTATTATTAGTATTTTTTTCTAAATCAGTGACGCAGATTAGGCAGCCCTGTTCACCTGAGAGACACTCCGAAGGAATGACAAGCATCTGACAAAGATGGACAGAGGGATAAGATTGAACAGAGAGGACAGGCATACGCATGAATAGAACAGAAGTGTCTCTGCGCGAGAAAGGGAATATGAAGACAAGAAAGAAGAGCAAACAAAGGTGTTGTGGTTCACTGTAGGTTCAACCCTTTGCTCCATATTGTTTGTTTACTGGATTACCAATAAGAAATAAGAAAGTAGCCTGTAAAATAATGGATACTCATTTTGACTGATAAATTTATCAGGGATCTCCAACCTTTTTCCCTTTGACAGCTGATTTGTCAGCTAAACAGAAATTTGAAAGTGGCCTGGAGCTACTGATAGCCCCGAGATGCACTTTGCCAATAGCAGACTGCTCTAACATGTATGGTCTTTAATGAACTGCTCCTTTACCTTCTCTGTTTGGAGACTGCTACCAGCCGGAAAGCCCCATGAAAAGCTGCTGTGGAGTTTGGTGAAGTGGCGATGTTACATCTTTCCCTGACCGACACACATTTCTCATTCTCATTGCCTTTTACTGGTTTGGCTTTATTTCTGCGGTCATTGTCCAATCTGGTATGCGCTTGCTCATCTGCTAACTTCACCTAATGTGTACTGATGTAGCCAAACTGGAAAGCAGCGTTATTATTTCAACCGATTCAACCAGCAAATAGGGGACGGGATGTCTGTGTATTTGATTCTATAGAAATGAAAACAGGTTAATAAAATTAATTTGTGTTATCTAATTTATGTTTGTACAGAGTTCTGCAGGAATGCATTCTAAAACCTGGGAATGAGTCAGCACTACCGGTTCCCTCATCTCACAGTCAGAGGGTTTTTAATTCGATTGCTGTCAGTTGTGTTCAGATTTTAGTGCCACAGCTATCCCCGGCCTCACGTTAAATAATAAAAAGTCTTTTCATGTAGTTACCTGGCTACTGTAAAACCTCAATATACATGTCACAGGTCCGTAATCAGATGTGTAACTAACCGTGACACATTACTTTGGTACCGCAGCTTACTTATTTGAACTTTGTTACTGGTGCTGCTTTCAGAGTTTGCAGAGTTCATGTGTGGAAACCAACATTGGCCAAGCGATCAGGGTTCTCTAGAAGATATCTGGCTAAGACCAGGGCTGAGGCTGCTGTATTCACATATGTATGCACACCACATTACAAACTCTCATTTACATCAAGCTGAAGGAATCAGGTTTCTGCAGAAAACCAACAGCAGCCCGGTTACTGAAGTGCAGGTCAACACCCTGACAGGATCAGCCTTCAAAAGCCGTATCACCGCAATCACAGCTGATGGTGCAGGGCTGCAAAGTTTAGCAGTAATGGAGTGCCACCCCTGTAACCTCAGTGACTAGCGCTCTCCGGTTTGCCCCATGGCTCTGCTCCCATCTACATTCGGGTCCTCCTTCAGTCCCTTACATCTGTTATCAGCTGCAGGTCTGTTTACCTGGCCTCGGGTCACTGACAGCCAGCCGCATGTTTGGCCGCTGGAGACAGATAAGGCGTCTCTCCACCCACCTCACTGAAGACTTTATCACTCCTCACTGTGTGGGTGTGTGTGTGTGCTGATAACCCCTGGCCCAAGCACTAGGCTAAGGCTGGCTCTCAGTGTTTACAACGGGTTGGATCAAAGCAGGCTCAGTGTGCAGCCGGTCAGCGGACCTGCCGTTTGGTCATACATTAACGATAGGCGGGCTGTGAGAATGTGTGTGTGTGCGTGTGTGTGTGTGTGATAGTGTGTTTTCCCAGTCAATAAACCTGAACCGAACAAGGCCTGAAGTAGGTTTGTTGAGTAAGCACTTCTAACTTGCACTGCAAAGTCTCTGCGTGTCACGGCTCAGACCTTACAGGAAAATTCAACAGAGGTACAAAATGTCTGGTGAAGACTGCATTTCTCCTCAAACGCTACAATTCAGAAGTGGCATTTAAAAAAAAAAGAAGCTCTCTTATATCAGATATGCAAAACAAGAGAAAGAGGGAATCGATTGGAACATGTAATTATTTGCTGCAAACTGTGTTTTTCTTAACACATCATGGCTGATTTCTCCCACAAATTGTGTCTGTTTTAAATGTGTGTGCGTGTGTGTGTGTGTGTGTGTGTGTGTGGTTTGGAAGGAAATGAATCATTGAAAAACACTGCAATGAAAGAGTTGAGAGAAATATCTTTGGTTCTTCTACTACTGACAGGAAATAAGGCACCCTTTGGGGATACATCCCTCCTTAGATAAACACGCTCGCTCTATGTCACCTTCTACACATCTGATTCAATCAGCTTTCATGAAAAAAGAACATCGAGCCGTGCGTGAGTGTGCTGTGTGCTGTTTAACTAACCAGACCAGAGAGGCTGCCATTTGCCTGATGGTCCATAATCACTGAGTGTCCAAATAGCAGCACATGGTGGATTAAAGTCTTGTTGTAAACTAAAGTGCCTGCTAATAATCAGAGTGCTACCTGTTAACCTTTATTCAAAACACTACAAGAATTGGAATTGGAGTATTTCTTGGTATTTGCTCTACACAACCATCATCGCTGTGCTGCTGTCTGTTGTTGGGCTGTATCACCCTTATTTTGAGCTGGATTCAACTTACCTTAGTGTCATAATTTAACCTTCATTTAAGTCCCGCCCCTCAAACTCACACTGGCCAATCAGAGCTTAGCATCAGAGCTCCGACCGGGGTCAGACAACTACCCAACTCTGCTTTATCAACTCTCATGCAATGGTGTGAGACTTACTTCATTTTCAGGCTGGTTTAGTAGATTTGGAGCTAGTCAGGGTTCAATGTTGTGCAATAGTGATACTTGTTACTCAGAGAGGTTGGAAGGACACATGCGCTTCTGAGAGGTTGCATTTCTACCTAAAAACCTGCACAAAACGAACTAGTGTTAGCACTTCTATGTTACGCTAGCTACTGAAGGTACACAGACAGTATACACATGCTGCTTGTGTTTTTTAATAATTGTAACAGTAAATAATGATCTACCCGGCTTTACAAACAAAGTTGTTCCTTAATTTCATTGTCTTCTGTCTCTATGGCCAGGTGATATGTTGGTTCACTTTTACACTGTAATCTGTAGGCTTTGGCTATCATCTTTATCTTTTTAACCTGTTTTGCTGTTAAATGGGTTTAACATCCTGGATATATCCTCTGCATATTGTACACCCTTCTGTCTGCTTCTCTCTAAAATCCCTTTTTACTCAAATGTTAGCAGGGAGTGCTATTAGTGACAGTGTGGGCTGCATGGTAGCTCTGACAGTTTAGTAGCAGAGGAGCCTTTCGTTTTGTATATTGAAAATGGATAATGTGTTCAGTTTAACAAACCTAAATGCTAATATTTCATTTTTTTACATCCTGGATGTTGTTTTAATTTGTTCTATTTTTTATGATTTTATTTCAATGCCTAAGTCTGATTGAACACAGCAACTGATCTGACAACACATTATCTACAGCAACTTGTTTGGAAGTGAAAATGAAGTTGAAAGTTCAAAATGTTTCCCAAACTGTCTACTGAAGACGCTCATGACGTTTTATAGCTACTTCAACTCGATGACTGTAGTACTCATGCGTGTGCTTCAGACCTTGGCCTCAGTCTCCCCTCGATGCAGGGTGTAGAGATGGTGAACGGCGCTCTGTGAGGACGCCCATGGGTGGGTGAGAATCTGGAAGACGTGAAAATCGTGGCCCTGAGTGTCGGCAGTCACCAGCAGCATTCCTACAATAAACAAAGTCATCAACATTAGGAATCATCAAAATAAACTGGTTGTCGTCATCATCATCATCATCATCATCATCATCATCATCATCACAACGGTCACTGTGTATGTTGTCTAGTATAGTCTGTGTTTCATTGTGCTTATTTAAAGTATTGTATGTGTAGTTTTTGCTTTCACATGAATGTGTTGTTTGCTTTACTTATTACATGCTTCTGTATTGCATGCTTTATTTAGTATTTGTTAGTGGTCCATAAATGAACAACTTGTAATATATTCACTGTATTCAATTCAAATCATACAACGACCATGATAAGTCAGAGATAAAGGAAACACGAACTGGATCAACAGAGATACCGTTGGATCTCACTCGACCCAAAAAGCATCCGCATCTTTCTAAAAAGCTAAATGACCAGAGACGTTGTAGATGATGGCTGAATATTGGAGATGCATTTGAAAGATGGAAACAGCTTGAAGCCCAGAAGGATTTTAAGACTGATGACAAGTTGACAAATTTCTTCCTCGACAGGTAAGCACTAAGCTTCAGCTAAGGTTAGCCAGCCTCGACTCATTTATTATGGCTACTAGTAGGGAAGTGTATTTAAAGTCATTTCATCATTCGAGGACTAGCATTCAGTTATTATAGAGTACCAGAGTATTTCAGACACATAGCCGGTGAAGTGATCCCGACTAGTGCTAACTAGTGGTGTAATGGACAACTGTTGATCCTTGATCCGTACAGATCCCCCCTCACGGTTCAGCACGCATGTGAATATTCAGTCAAATATGGCGTCAGGACATCATTTATTTGTTTTCTTTTGTGCAGATCTGATCCATGATCCGATCTGAACCGTGACTTTCATGATCCATTGCACCCCTAATGTTAACACAGGCTAACTACTGACAATCACACTGGGGTCACGGACGAGCCACGGCTACTACCTCAGCAACAACCATGAATGTATGAATGGGATTACTCTATTGCATTACGCTGAATGAATACTGACATCCACATCTTTACGTAGATAATTGGTCAAGAGCACGAAGTGGTGATCGCAAAAGACAAAGTCCAGTAGCTTTAAATGAAGGACTCCACCTGTGTCATGTAAAACTGCTTTAAGAAGAAAGGTAGAGCACTCTTATTGCACTATGCACTGGAATTATTACATTACTCAGCATATTTTTGATTGGTTAATAATGTAAAAAATCACAATCTTGTGAGTCTGGTGCAAACTAGCTGGAGCAAAATCACATTGAATCAAGACAGTTTTAGATATTTTCTCAAAATATCTCAAAATAATTTCTTGTGAGGAAATATAGACTGCGGTATACATACCGTCTTCAAATGGCAGTTTACAATCATTTGAGAAGTCAATCATCAAATGCTCTTTCACAAATTAGTTTGGTGCTCCTAGGCTTTCAGTAGAAATGATTTGATACATTTTATTATGTCGAACTCAGAGAAAACAAAAACTCCAAATCTTTAAATTGTGCCAGTGTGTTCAGGAGTCGCCTCTGGTTTAGTGGTAAACTGATAGAAAGTCAAGCCAACCAAAATATCTAAACCGTATTTCACTCTGGCGGCTCACACAAAGGGAGCCGACACTACCAACTGTGCAGGACACATGCTAGACGGCATGACAGGATTACTGTGCATTTAAAACAAACAAAACCAGCTATCGTTTGCCGCGGTCATAAAATGCAGCCTTTCCTCCCATGATAGCTGGGTCTGGTTAAAAGCATGGATCGAGTCGTGTGCTTCCTCAAGGACAGACAAGATGATGAGTGTCTGTAAAAGTGAAAATGCATGTATTCATACATCCGCGTATGGTCATGGGTGTGTGTGTGCACACTGAGATTCACCCCCACAATGTAACCCCCACTGACAGGCCCATTCATTTGGTCCCGTTTTATTTGAAGCTCATCAAACTCCAGAAATTATAGGCCCTCACCATAAACAACATGCTCAACAACCACACCAGAACAAACCCAGATCTAAACTGGTTCGGTTTGGAAAAACGCAGCACCGCTTTTCAAGCGCAACCCAAAACCCATCCCAGAAGCCCTTTGAGATGTTACAAACAAACCCGGAGATTGGGCAGTAACTCACAATGTTGGAAACCCATCAGTGATACAGAGTGTAAGATTTGAGAGAAGTTCAAACCTCTGTCTTTTTGACGACTCCCAGACATACATGATATTAAAGAAATTAGTCATTTTCCTCCAAGTTTTTCCCCGTGGAATCCTTTATGTGAAGGCTGCAGTACGTTTTAATTAGTGGCCGGGCTTTATTGGGTGGCATGTCAAACGTGAGAAGAGGAGGCTGGAATGGCATGAGATTAAAAGGGTTCAGCAACACGTGCGAGGATGATGAAAAACACTCCCTCTCTGGAAAGAAAAAGAAAAAAGCCAAGTGTGAGACAACATTTTGCACATTCATTCAGAGTTGAAAGGTTTTTTCTTTTTTTAAGACTAGCGTTTGACTGAAGAACAGTTATATTTAAAGATGATGGAGAAGTGGAATGAGGGAGGTACAGACTGGGGTCACGCAGATTATCATAGGTGGAGGGAGGAAAGCAGAAGAGAAGCCAAGTGAAGTGTGCATTAAGACGGTGGTTAGCTATTCATGCTGTATCAGAGTGCCCAGAAAGCCAGAGAGCTCAGGCCCAGGGCCTGTAAACTCTTGAAAACCCACGCCCCAAACGAGGTGCCAAGCCACAAGAAGCATTTGCGTCAACTGGGAATAGAGAGAAAAAAGGGACGGGGCCCTTCTAATTATAGAGTCTGGAAACGGAAGCGCAGGGTGATTAGGAGTTGAGGCGCTGCGGTCTGTTTATCTGGGAGCTTCCTCTCGCTCTTGAACCCTCTTCTCCCCCACACTCCACTCTTTCTTTCTTTCTTTCTTCCTCCTCTCTCTGTTTTGGTTGGGCCCCGCCCACCCAGTGGCTGGAGACTCTGGCCCCTGGGTTTCTGACAGATGAAACTTGGCCGCTGTGTTCTGGCAGTGGCCGGCGCTTCTCTTCTGCTGATGGTTGAGTCCGGGCTCCAAAAAAGTAACAGCTCAGAGAATCTGGAGAGCTTTGTGAGCACGAGTGCCCGAGGACTGGGGCTTTTGTGGCCTTGTTGAAATACAGAGGCCCTCGCCGAGAGGCGTCAGTCGGTTAGCCCGCAGGATGGCCAAATTAAAAAGTAGCTGAGCCGCTCGGCGGGTGAAAAGAGAGGGTTTCAGGGAAACCAGAGGCTGGCCGGAGCTGGGTTTGACACGTCCTATTTATAACACCTCGTCTCAGGGTTTACAGCGTTATTTACGATGTTTTAGTACCAAAATCGCTGGCACACGCACTTACACATGCGCTAAACTGGAAGGGATGACCTCTAATTTGCCATGTGTGCGAGACATGCGTCCGTATGGGACAAGAGGGAAGTGATATAATCATTTCCATAAATATCTGCTTTTGCTTTCTTTTTTTTTTCTTTTTCCCAAAAATCTTTTTGTTTTGTTTTGCTGCAGGCTTTACTGTCCCATCGCTGAGCAGCCAAACAGAAAACATCTGCTCAATGCCATTAATAGTGGGAGGATGTTTCATTTACAAAGTGGTTGGGCTAGCTTTATTCTTGACAAAGGCAGATGGGACGAGAGAGAGGGAGAGACAGGGAGAGAGAGAGAGAGAGAGAGAGAGAGAGAGGGAGAGAGAGGGAGAGAGGGAGAGAGAGAGAGAGAGAGAGAGAGAGAGAGAGAGAGAGAGAGAGGGAGAGAGGGAGAGAGAGAGACAGACAGAGAGAGAGAGAGAGAGAGAGAGAGAAGCAAAGAAACGGAGAGGGCGGTGATTTCCCAACTTGGCAACACAAAAGGCCACAACAAAACTAGTCCACTTTTTAATTAACAACACTAGGCTAAAAAAAAGCTTTGAAAATCAAGAAAATCTCAAATTATAACCATGTGGGCGGCATAAAGCTTACAAGATGGAGTACTTGGGGGACTTACTGTTACCAGGATGCATAAACTTCAGAGCAAATGAGCCCAACGCACAAATGAAAGAGTACCCATTGTAAGACGAAGCTTTGTCTTCAGAGACCTGACTCTGTTTGTGTGTACTGACACATATGCTGGACATATACATTACAGATTCACTCTGCATTCCATATACACAACTAAACTGTGTGCTAAACCAACATGTTAGTGTTGCCATGGGAACTATGACCACCTAGGAATCATTGGCGAACATTTATTTAGCCACCATCCATCCAGCCAACATCGACCCTCTGCTATCCACCTGCACTATTATTTTGAATAAACAGGTTGTTATCAGTCAAGAAATCAGCGGAGAGCCGAGAGTTTGGCCTTAAAACTCGACGACAATCTGACGGCTACATAAGTAAAGTGAATGATTAATGGGCATGTGTACTCTTCTTAACCAGTGCAGATTTGGCTACTGGCTACAGTGCTAATTGAAGGAGGGAGGAGAGCGCCCTGCTAATCCTCTTACCACCACAGCCCCACACTAATATACGAGCAGTTTTATTTCCACTGGGCAGCAGGGTAGGCATTAGGGTTAGTCAGATACCAACAAGCCAAAGACAACCACTTCTAATGTCAGAGAGAGGCTGCAGTAATTACACCTTCCTTTCAGCAATTATCAGCACTTTTACTTATAGCTCTATTCAAGTTTGCATGTGTTATTATCTTTCTGGTTTCTAATTAAAATTTTAGTGTCACTTAGTTTACATGTTGTGTCAGAAACTTTCCAGACTAGCAAGTGCCTGATCGACTGATTCCCCGTCAGTGGCAAGACGCTAGTGAAATAAAATGGAATGATGTAGTCTAAGTAAGTAGCTATGTGAGTCATGACCTATCCTTGTTCCCCTGCATCTCTGCTTTATCACTAACTTTCCTATTCCACCAGATACACTTCAACACACGGGTGAAAACACATCAAACCACACACACATTAAAGAAGAGCAAAATCATCCAATTCCACGATTTCCCTGCTAAAACAGATCT